CCTTCTGGGGGTCCCCCCGCCCCCCCCTCCCCGCCCCATCCGTAGCCAAGTGAAGCCTGAGATCCCGCCCTCCTCCCCATCCCCAAAGGACCCGAGGAGGAGGAGGAAGAGGAGGAGGAGGAGGGGGCGCGCAGACATTACAGAGATGACAGAGAGGAGGCGGCGGCGGAGAGCAGGAGAAAGGGCCCCCGTGCGAGACAGAAAAGAAAAGCCCTCCCGTTCCGCCGCCATTGTCCCTCCCCACACGCACCCACACGCACCCACACGCCGCCGCCGCTCACCCCGCTGTCATGACCACGTTGTAAATGACCAGGTAGGCCGTCGCCAACGCGCCAGGCCCTTTCCGTCGCCGGGAGCCCGCCGGCTGCTGGCTGCTGGCGCCGTAGCCGTTATCCGCGCGACGGCTCCCGCTGCTAGAGGAGGCCGCCGCCATGGCGCTTCCCTTCCCTGGCTTCCCGGCGGGGGAGCGAGCGAGCGAGAAAGAGAGAGAGCGCGCGCGGCCGAGGATCCCCGCCTCCGCCTCCTCCTCCTCCTCCTCGTCCTGCCTGGCGAACCCGAGTGGCCGCGCGGGGAGGAGGGCGAGGCGGGGAAAACGGGCCGGGCGGCGCCTGCAGCCGCGGCGCGCGCCTCCTAGAGGGCGGCCCGGGCGGTGCAACGGAGAGTGTAGCGATGGTTTCACGCGCAGGCTCTGAAGGCGGCAGGCCGTGAAAGCTCACACGGGGGGGAGGGGGGGCGGCTCAACATTTTTATAAGGTGCCCCAAGTCTTTTTTTTTGGCAACAGATTAGCAATAGCCACCCCTCTAAGAGGGGTGCATCAGATACCACGGCTGATTTCTTCATTAACCTGCTGTCCTGAAGCAGGGGTCATTTTGTAGAAAAAGAGGTGCAGGAGCTCATTAGCATGACTCATTAGCATGACTCATTTGCATATGCCACACACCCCGACGTCACCGGGAGTGTGTCAGAAGGCAACACCCACTGCTCAGATGCCAGTTTGGTGTAGTGGTTTAGTGTGCGGACTCTAATCTGGGAGAACAGGGTTGGATTCCCCACTCCTCCACTGGCACCTGCTGGATGACCTTGGGCAAGCCGTAGCTCTGATAAGAGCTGTTCTTGAGAAAGAGCAGTTTCTGTCAGAGCTCTCTCAGCCCCACCTACTACCTCACCAGGTGTCTGTTGTAGGGAGGGGAAGGGGAAGGAGTTTGTAAGCCACTCTGAGACACCTTTGGGTAGTGAAGGGCGGGGTATAAATCCAATCTCTTCTTCTTCTTAGTTCCTCTGCTAGGTTAAGTGAAGGATACCAGTTAAACTAAGCCAATATTATGCTGGTATAAATGGGCCACCAGCAGGGGTCTTTTCGTAGAAAAAGAGGTGCAGGAGCTCATTAGCATAACTTATTTGCATATGCCACACCCCCTGACATCACCGGACTTGTGTCAGAAGGCAACACCCACCGCTCAGGTGCCAGTTTGGTGTAATGGTTAAGTGTGACTCTAATCTGGGAGAACCGGGTTTGATTCCCCACTCCTCCACTTGCACCTGGCGCACCTGGCCGGATGACCTTGGGCAAGCCGTAGTTCTGATAAGAGCTGTCCTTGAAAAACTCTCAGCCCCACCTACCTCACAGGGTGTCTGTTGTGGGGAGGGGAAGGGAAAGGAGTTTGTAAGCCACCTGAGACACCTTTGGGTAGTGAAGGGCGGGGTATAAATCCAATCTCCTCTCATCCTCCTCCTCCACTTGACTGTTTTGGATTACTAGCTATTGGGGGGGGGGGACATGCAGATCTGTCTTCGCAGAGGAGGGAGAGCTTGTACCTGAATAAAACTTGGTCTTAAAAGTGCTACTGGACTGTTTTGGGGGGGGCCCGCTCTGCAACTTACCTGGCTGCTTCTTGCTCTGACTGAGGGCTGCTGGGAGCAGGGGGTGGGGCTTGTTGCATGTGCCCGCCCCCTGGGCTCTTTACTGCCGGAGCTCCTCTCCTGCGCGCTCCTGCAGGAAATGACCCCTAGTCCTGAGACAGTATTAGGTTCTGAATTACAAAAGGAATTCCAGAGTCCGGAGACAAAGAGTTATTCAGTCATATTATGCAAGTAGATCCACTGTATGGTGCACACCCTGGCCAACAACCACTGCACCAGCAAGACAGAGTGATCTATACCAGAATTATCGAAGTTCATGAGAAAATGTACTTCCACATTGTCTCTCTCAAAAAAGTCTGTTACACACGGTTTACACATGCTTGCTTTGTGCAGCCCACATAAGCAGACATGTCCTAGTTTCCCCAGCAGAGTTCAAGATTATCAGCTTTGCAGCAGTCTGCCAGTGCTCTTGGCCACAGTAGCGGGTGTGTGTAGGGGGAAGGAAATAGGGAAGGCAAAGGGAATGGGGCCCCAAGAGGTAGCTGCAGAGTGGGGCTTTAAACTTGGATTTTCCAGGCTCTTGTCCAATACTCTTACCACTTGTCATCACCCCCTTAGCCTCAGACGGCAGGGGCAGCTGGAGCAGGGCGTCCAAAGATGACATCACCTGCTAATTAACGTAGAATTAAGCCTGCATTAAAGAGACAGGGTAGGTTGTTCTCCAAGTTGCTGGCAATCCTAAACCCCCTATGAAAGCAAGTCACGCACCTATCATATCAGTACCGCACTGTGCTTTAGTATCTTGCTGTAAAATGCCAGGTCGGTTACAGGTAAAGTGACACTCATCCACAATTTAATTCTGAATGAGAGGGCTGACTTGGAATGCATCAATGAGATCTGGTTGGGGGATAGGGCAGATTTTAACTTTCCCCAACTGTGCCCCCCCCCCCGGGTACTCAGTGATGCATCAGTATAGGCCTGATGGGTAGGGAAGTGGTGTTGCTGTAGTCTGTACAGATTCTATCCTTCTGACTTGATGCCCTGTTTGGGACTTTGCTGGGTTTGAGAGTGGGTGCGTTCAGACGGGCCCTTTAGTCCGCTTTCGGCACACTTCAGTAACGGATTTTAGATCCACGTTTATACCCCCAACATCTGCGCACCGTCCCCAGCCGTCGCTTTCCGGCTCAAACCCCCTTTAAAACGGAGTATTTTGTTACAAGGTCCCCAAGTGGTGTTTTCCCGATTCTCCGGTTCTAGCTGCATTTTTCTATTTAATAAAATAGGGGGGGTGGATATCAACGTTACCTATGCTACTAACCAGATTATTAATATATAGGTTGAACAATACTGGTGCCAGAACACTGCCTTGTTTTACTCCTTTTGCTGTTATTACTGGATTAGAAAGGTGCCCAGCCTGATTGCGTCTAACTTTGAGGGATGTATTTGAATATAGGGCTAGTATTACATGTAAGACTCTATGATCAATATTCATAGCTTTTAGTTTCTCCCATAGTAATCCCCTAGATATAGAGTCAAAGGCAGATTTCAGGTCAAAAAAGGCAGCATATAACGAGACCAATCTACTAGTCGCAAATTTCTCAATTAGATGCTGAATAATTAGACAATGGCCCAAAGTAGATCTGCCCTCCCTAAAGCCCACTTGTTCTATAACAAAGATATCTTCTTGTTCAATCTAGCATTTAAGTCTCTCTAGCAAGTGGCTAGCATATAGTTTACCTATAACGCTGAGCAAGCTAATAGGTCTATAATTGGCTGGATCAGCCCTACTCCCTTTTTTATAGAATGGTACAATGATTGCCTGCCTCCAATCCTCTGGAATATATTCTGTAGAATCAACATATGAGAAAAGCGTGGCTAGGGGTGGTGCCCACAACTCTATGTTATTAATTAGGAACTCTGACAAGATATTATCAGTTCCAGGGGCTTTTCCTTTCTTCAATTGATTTATAAGAGCCATAACTTCTTTTACTGCAACTGGCAGCCAATCTGGTAAATCACGTATTCTTTGCAAATGGGAGTCCTGAGGGCCGTCAGAGTAAATCTTTCGAAAATACGATTCCCAAATATATATCGGCCATAATTAACAAGTGTAAAGGAGAAGAGTCCTTAAGAGGGTATTTAGAAATCAGTTTCCAAAATATTTTGGAGTTTTTATCTTTAATTAAAATTACCCCTTCTTACCATTTTCCTTTTTCTAGCCACTATTAATTTGTAGGATTTCCTTAGGCAGAACTAAGTTGATTAATTAGCTTTCAGTTCTCTCCCCCCACCCCCAGTCTTATCACACTCTTGACCAGGCTGTCTAAATAGAAAATAAAAGTTTTAAAGACTGACAAGGTCACTGTCTTAAGTAGTGTGCCTGCTAGGATGGGAGATGCCGAGCAAGGCAGTAAATTAGTAGATAAGTTTTCCAAACTTCTGGCAACTGCCACTCCATCTTGTTATAGCACACAAATAATTATTGATAAAATGGTTGCAAACTGGGTCCTTCTAGAGGTTGTTAGATGATAAAAACCTTTAAAATCCATGGAGCTCCAGAACTGCATCTGCATTGGCCAACAACCGACCAGAAGTCCCACCATGTCTCTCTTGTACAGCTATCTTAAACTTTAGGAATATTTTTCAGAGTAGAAGTTCTATTTTATCTCTCTGCAGACAGAATCAGAAACAAATAGGCAAATGCTTTTGTAGCATGTTCCACTCTTGAAAATGTTCATAGTTGTGTCGTATTTATGCTAACAGTTTCAAACAACACTTTTTACCATTCAGTAAGCACTCTATTTTAGGATTTAGCCATTCCAGCAACATTGTTCCAACTCATAAAAAGGCATAGGGGTCCTGGTTTATTTTCACCTTGCCGTAAGCAGCACCGTACTCAGAAGTAAGAAATGAAGACAGTAATGTTCATGAATGGGTGGGAGGCTGCTTGGCCAATTCTTGTGTTCTTTCACGTAAGTGTGCAGCGCCAAATGTGAATTTAGCCCCCCATGTTTACACACAGCAGTAAGTCTTGAACAGTTTTCAAGTTCTCCGTTCCAGCACTTTAGAGGAAGGATAGTTTTAAAAAAACGTGGGATAAGTAGATAAATGCTTTGGCCGCTAAGTGTGAGGTGCAAATTGTTTTGCATTTTCCTGTGACTGTCATTCAGTTGTCAGAGCGACATTGCTTATGATACACATTTTATTTTAAAATAGCTGCACTTCTGTTTTCTATCCAACCACCTTGTGGATTATGAAGCCCGTTTCGGGGAGGGCGTGTTACAAATCTAAAAATAAATAAATAAATAAATAAATAAATAAAACCATACAGGCACTCAGTGTTCAACTGAGTTATACACCAGCTCCTACCTTCCAGTGTTCTAGCAAACCACTACAAACAATCTGGTTTGAGTGGCAAAGTAAATAAAACATGTACGCAATTTTTCCTTATCTTGTATTGTATGTCCTGACCACTGAAAGAGAAGAAGGGAGCAGGAGTTTTCAGGCTCTGGAGTAAATAGTTAGGAAGCTGCTTGAATTTAGATAGCTGAATGTTCCCACCCGCTTTGTATCATTTGGGGTCTCCACCACAAATTGTCCAGTGCTGATTCTTGGAAAGGGATTTAACTAGGCTTCAGAAACAATCTGA